GTGAACAACATATAGCTACTACAGGGTTTGAAAAATTTTACATGGCTGGTGTAAATACTCATCTGACCAGAGCTGTTTCATTCCAGTTTCACTCTCTAAACTATAAATTAGTAACTGATTCACATTATAAATGTTTCATTGGGCTGTTCAATGAGTGCACTGACTTGCAGTATCACGGAAAAATGTAGAGTTAAAATGGTTAACATAATTTTCATACATGCACATATTGAGAATTTTACATTTAGTATTTATTTAGGTTTTTGTTCGTTTGTTTTTTCTTGCAAGAAATCCAAAACACATAAAATGATTTGGGAAAAATGTTTTATTTTGATTCACGCCATTTGTTTTTACATAGTACAGTTGATGCTGCACTTATTCTTTATTCCCACTGTCACTCACACACAGGTAAAGTCATCTCTCCATCACTACACTTTTGTCTTAGGGGAACACCTCCTGAAACTTTGCCCCTCTTACACATTAAGGTGATGTGATCATCATGTGGTGCGAACATCTTTTGTCGATTAGCATAGGCCAACTCTAAACCTCTTCTTTCCATTTCCTCCACCGTCACTGTACAGGGCTCTGAAATAAACCCAGCATGTCACTATCAGTGTCCAACGTGATCTCATGATAATTCGTATGTATTTTACGTAAAATGTAGTTCTATAAAACGTACATTTACGTACGTTTTTACAGGCACTAAAACGTACAATACTGACGTATTTTCAGCCCTAAATGTACAAATACTTACGTATTTTTAGCATTTAAACGTACAAAACTGACGTATTGACACCTAAAATACCATTGCAGTCAAACAGGTCTACTCCAACCTTTTGGTATGGATGATCAGGCACTGGATGAGGCATGAGTGGCTCTGCTTGTTGCTTAGACCTGTATGTGAGACATATTTTGCATGAGGCTGTAGTCTGACTGATATCATGGTTTATCCTTGGCCAGTACATTACCTCACGGGCCCTGCAATTGCATTTCTCTTCTCCTAGATGTCCCTCGTGAACTTTCTGCAGCATTTCTATGCGCATCGATGCAGGGATGACAAACTTGTTTCCCTTGAAGATGATGTCATTCACCACTGAAAGCTCTGATCTGCATGACCAGTAATCTTGGATTTGCTTTGAACAGTCACTTTTCTTTTCTGGCCAGCCTTTCAGGATGAACTCTTTGAGTTGTGTCATCCATATCAGTTGCTTTTCTTATTTGTTCAGTTTTATCTGGGGACACGGGAAGAGATGTTGCAATCATGTCAACATCCGCTTGTATGTCTGCACTTTTCTCACTGTTAAGGTTTTCATGCTTGTCGACTGCCCGAGAGAGTGTATCTGCTGCAAACATGAATTTTCCTGGTGTGTAGATAATTTTGACATCGTATTTTTGGAGTCTGATGAGCATTCGTTGGATTCTCATGGGACAGTCATTTAAGGCCTTGGACATTATGGACACCAGTGGTTTATGATCTGTTTCCACTTCAAAGGACTGTCCATAGACATACTGGTGGAACCTTTCGCAGGCATACGTGCAAGCCAGAAGTTCCTTCTCTATTTGTGCATAGTTGGACTCTGCACCAGTCAAGGCTCTTGATGCGTAAGCTACCTGCTGCCAGCTCTCACCATGTTGCTGCAGAAGCACAGGACCTAGGCCATATTGTGAGGCATCTGCTGAGATTCGTGTGCTCTCATGTGGGTCATAATATCTGAGCACTGGCTCCTCTGTAATGATGTGCTTCAGATTTTGAAAGCATGCTTTCTGCTCGTGAGGCCACATCCACTCATTCTTTTGTTCGAGGAGACATCTGAGTGGAGCAGAATGCGTTGACAGCTGGGGAATGAATTTGACCAGGTAAATGACCATTCCAAGGAATCTTCTCACTTCCTCCTTTTTTTGAGGCCGTTCCGTGTTGACTATTGCGGAGGTTTTTCTTGGGTCTGGCCTGACACCTTCCTCAGACGAAACATCTCCAACAAAAGTTAGAATCTTGACTGCGATCTCACATTTCTCTCTGTTCAATTTCAGATTGGACTGCCTTGTAAGCTCTAGAACTTGCCTCAATCGTGCGTCGTGTTCTTGACAGTTGGAACCCCACACAATTATATCATCCATCATAGTCTCTACGCCTGGTAGGTGCTCAAAGATCATGTGGATTGTTTTGTGGTACCCTTCTGGTGCTGACAGAATGCCATACGGGAGACGTAGAAAACGATATCGGCCTTCTGGAGTATTGAAGGTACACAGTTTTGAACTTGCCTCATCAAGTTTCATTTGCCAAAAACCGGATGACCCATCCAGCTTACTGAACCACTTCGCTCCAGCAAACTGAGACATGATCTCTTCTCTGGTTGGCAGTTTGTAGTGTTCGCGTTTTATGGCTCTATTGAGATCTCTCGGATCAAGACATATTCTCAATGCACCATTTTTCTTAAGCACAATGACGAGTGAACTCACCCAGTCTGTTGGTTCGTCAATTTTCTTTATGACATTTAACTTCTCCATTCGAGCTAGTTCCTCTTTGAGTTTTTCACGCAATGCAAACAGAACTTTTCTGCATGCATGTACCACCGGAGTCACCGTATCATCAATGCTTATGTTGTGCTCCCCAGGCAAGCATCCCAGTCCTTCAAACACATCTTTGTAATCCTCCATGAATGAAGTTTCCTCTGTTTCAACCTGTGATGTCACTACAAACACTCTTCTCACCAGGTCAAGTTTTTCACATGTACTCAGTCCCAGAATTGGCTGGACGGTTTTTTCTATGATCAGCATTTGTGTCTTTAACAGCTGTCCCTTGTGTTTCAGAGTCACCAGGCAGCTTCCTTTGACAGGGACATCCTCACATGTGTATCCTGTTACTTTCATTTTTGTTGAATGAATTTTGTTTTTGACTTTGAGGGTTTTGTAGTCATCCATTGACAACAGGTTAACTTGTGCACCTGTATCTAATTTGAATGGAATCATTGTCTCATTTACAGTCAGTGGTACAATCCATTCAGCTTTGTCTGCCGTGTTTGTCTGAACAGAATCAACAAAGAATTCCTCTGGCTGTTCTTCAACTGCATATACTTTGTTCTTTGCAACATCAGCTTTGCAACACTTTGCAAAATTATTATTCTTCCCGCAGCTATTGCAGGTTTTTCCATAAGCAGGACAAGATCGTGGCATATGTGTCTCTCCACATCTGCCGCACTTACTTTTTGGAGATTTCACCCTCTGCTGTCTTTGTTTTGTTGATTGTTTTGTGCGCTGCTCCTCTCTTTTTATAGGATGCACTGCAGCATCATATCTATGCAGTTCCTTGGCTTGTGCACGTGTTATTTCAGCAGCTCTAGACATATTTACAGCTTTCTCTAGTGTCAGAGCTGGTTCACGTAGCAGTCTTTCCCTGAGACCATTATCGGGAATCCCACAGACTATTCGGTCTCTCACTAGTGAATCTCTTAAATCTCCAAAGTCACAAGTCTTACTCAGTGTGTGCAGTTCAGCAAGGTATTGATCAAAAGTCATTCCTTGTTTCTGATCAGCAGAGAAAAATTTGAATCTCTCAAATGTGACATTCTTGCTTGGCAGTTGGCACAAAGTATTCTTCAAACTTTGTCATGAGAACAGTCAGTGTTAAATTTGCCTCGTCAAGTTGAAAGCTATTATATATGTCCAGTGCATCCTCACCTATGACATGCAGAAAGATCGATGCTTTTAACTTCTCATCACTTCCACCTGCGCCACTAGCAGCAAGATAGATGTTGAATCTCTGCTTGAAACGTTTCCAGTTATCAGCCAAATTACCGACGAACTGCATAGGTGATGGCGGATTTAACTTCTCCATGACGGGAAAACACTCAAGAGTTCTCTTACTTTGTGTCAACGATGTCTTTTCGACCTGCTTTTCGCTGCTCTGCTGCACTTGACCCGCGTGCGTGCATCTCTTGTGCGCTCGTCCCTTGGCCGCTCTCCGTGCAGGTCTCGCTCACTGTGGGTCCGGTCTCGCTGGCGTTTTTACACAAACTCTCCAGTGTTCGCCAGTCCCTATTTCTGACACCATGTTATGAAGACAAAGACAAAGACTTGCTGTGGTTTCTGATCATTTATTCAGTCCGCAGACACATAGCATTCAACACTCTCCCCTGGTGCACTACATAGAACTGCCCGGTCCGCAACACAGTACCGGAACCAAAGTTGTTATCGGGCATAACATCACAGATAGAACGTAAACTTTGAAACTGCTAGTTATCTTTCTTTTCTGCTCAAGATGAGAACGTTTTGATTATTGTAGACATTTTTAGTAGATAATGCTTTTAAGTAAAATATTAAAATAGTATAGATTTCAGGAGGAAAAGTCTGAACAGAAACAGTATTTTTTTGTCACATGGCCTCGCATGTATCTAAATGTAACAATTCAATACATGTAATTTATTTATTTATTTATATTTGTCCGGACCTCTGCTTGGAAGAAAATATAGAGACCGCACCGCTTCGAACTTTATTTGAATACCCCTGACATATATAAAAAAGAAATAATTTATTTGTATGGTTTTGTAATATCTGTGCCACATATTTCCTTATGTGTCATGGTAGATAGGACTCTTATTATAGAATTTAATTACAGAAAAACTGTTTTGAACATGGTAATGGATTAAAACATAAGTAACAGGCTGGATGTGCATTAACCTTATGTACATGTATGTAAGATAACCGTATCTTAACACCTCTTTTTTTTGTTTGTTTTTAAAGAAAAAAAAAGAAAAAAAGCATATCATAGGTCATATATTTTGTCTATAGCCTAAAACAGCTTCGTAAATAGGAAGGTTTCAATACATGAGGATTCTGAATGGGATTTTTTTTAGCGAGCCATTAAATGACTTGATACTCGACTCGGACTCGTGACCAAAGACTCGAGACTTGACTCAGACTCCAGCAACAAAGACTTGTGAACATCTGTGCTCTGTAGTTTCACCAGCCTAACTGTCCTTTTTGTCTTTTCTCCGTTCGTGTAGAATGGATACACTCCCCTTCACATAGCAGCAAAAAAGAATCAAATGGAAATAGCTACCACACTCCTGCAGTACGGAGCTGAGACCAACATCCAGACCAAACAGGGTGTGATGCCGCTCCATCTGGCTTCCCAAGAGGGACACAGTGAGATGGCAGCTCTCTGTGTGCATTGAATTTATTTAATACACGAGTTTCACAATTTGAGTTGAATTACTGAAATAAATGAAATTTTCCACAACATTCTAATTTATTGAGATGCACCTGTACTTCAAATCACTACAAATATCAAATAAAAATAAATTTAAACATTGTGTAAAAAAAAATACATTTGAGGCAGAGTTTGCGAAACTGCATTAAGCATTTTATTTCAATTTTTAATTCAATATGCTGTCCATTACTTTGACATATATTAAAATTAGCTATCTGGTCCTTTGTGTTTCCATACTTCGAAACATTATCACAATAAAGTAAATGATATTTGAAATAAGACAAAGATACAAAATCAAATAACCACTGAATCCAATGGAATAATTTACATTACAGAAGAGCAAAAAAAAAAAAAAATGAAATAGCAATGGGACAAAGCAATGCAATAATTGGGTTTTTAAATGGTTTTATATGCTCTTTGCTCATGTATAACTGTGATTATACATGACAAAGGAAAATGAAAGACCAGGTAAGCCATTTTGTACCTATTGAGAGCCAATCCTCCATTTAATCTGACCTCTTGATGGATGTGTATTGTGCATGACTTTCTGTTCACTTATAAGCCCTATATTTGCTTGAGAATAGCCAAGGCCCAGACTATTATTAAGCTCTTCATTTCAGATTTTTTTTTTATGATGATGAACTCCAGCTCTGTTGTTTTTTTTATGTTTTCTCAGAGTGGACTTACATCCCTTCATCTTGCTGCCCAAGAAGACAAAGTAGGTGTTGGTGAGATTTTAGTTAAGCATGGTGCCAACGTTGACCAACAAACACAAGTAAGAAGAGTATTATAATTTCACAAAGTAAGATATTTTCCCCAATAAATATCACCGATGCTGACAATATGATCTCTATTTCAGTTGGGATACACAACGCTTATCGTTGCCTGTCACTATGGAAATGCTAAGATGGTTCATTTTCTGTTGAAGAGTGGGGCAGGTGTCAATGCTAAAACAAAGGTATTTCTTAATCTGTTAATTTTTAATATTAATATAAAGAACATTTTTATATTTAAATGAATAAAAAATACTCAAACTATTTAACTACAGTATAAATTGATTTCCACATACAAAATGAGTGTAATATATATTAATTAGACAAAAGATAGCAATGTGTTAAAGGCATAATGTGAAATATAACATTTGCATTCTTGTCAGAATGGTTACACACCTCTACACCAGGCTGCACAACAAGGAAACACACACATCATTAACGTCTTGCTCCAGCATGGAGCCAAACCCAATGCCATCACTGTGGTGAGTAAATACATACACATGCAAACATACAAACACATACTCCATTTAAACATTTTCTTCAATAAAATCAGCATAAAATGGATCCTATTGACTTTTTTAATACATGTTCCCCTGAAAAACAGAAAAAAGTTTCAAAGAGGGGAAAAAAAAGCAATTTTCTAATCTCATTGTTGATATTATGTCATTTTTTGAAATAAGACAAAGATACAAAATCAAATAACCACTGAATCCAATGGAATAATTTACATTACAGAAGAGCAAAAAAAAAAAAAAAATGAAATAGCAATGGGACAAAGCAATGCAATAATTGGGTTTTTAAATGGTTTTATATGCTCTTTGGTCATGTATAACTGTGATTATACATGACAAAGGAAAATGAAAGACCAGGTAAGCCATTTTGTACCTATTGAGAGCCAATCCTCCATTTAATCTGACCTCTTGATGGATGTGTATTGTGCATGACTTTCTGTTCACTTATAAGCCCTATATTTGCTTGAGAATAGCCAAGGCCCAGACTATTATTAAGCTCTTCATTTCAGATTTTTTTTTTATGATGATGAACTCCAGCTCTGTTGTGAAAAGGTCTCTGGTTTGATTGATATAAAGAACATTTTTATATTTAAATGAATAAAAAATACTCAAACTATTTAACTACAGTATAAATTGATTTCCACATACAAAATGAGTGTAATATATATTAATTAGACAAAAGATAGCAATGTGTTAAAGGCATAATGTGAAATATAACATTTGCATTCTTGTCAGAATGGTTACACACCTCTACACCAGGCTGCACAACAAGGAAACACACACATCATTAACGTCTTGCTCCAGCATGGAGCCAAACCCAATGCCATCACTGTGGTGAGTAAATACATACACATGCAAACATACAAACACATACTCCATTTAAACATTTTCTTCAATAAAATCAGCATAAAATGGATCCTATTGACTTTTTTAATACATGTTCCCCTGAAAAACAGAAAAAAGTTTCAAAGAGGGGAAAAAAAAGCAATTTTCTAATCTCATTGTTGATATTATGTCATTTACTGTGTAGAATGGAAACACCGCTCTTGCCATCGCACGTCGCCTTGGTTACATTTCTGTGGTTGACACTCTGAGAGTAGTCACAGAGGAAATTATCACTACAACAATGGTAAGTTTACCCAAGGATATGCATTTATAAGTCATTCATAGAAATAAATGCATTGTGGATTTTAACTAGATTAACAATAACAACAAAAAACACATTTGTTTCTATGTAGACAGTGACAGAGAAACACAAGCTAAATGTGCCAGAGACCATGACAGAAGTCCTTGATGTGTCTGACGAAGAGGGTGAGTGTGACAAACAATTATTTTATTCCCTTATTATTTTATTTAACTGCTTTATTTAATCAATCAGTAAGTCAGTCACTCAATCCCAGAATATTTCCTCAAGTATATTGGCAAATCTGAAGTTCACTTGCAATCTCATGACAAAATTTCAGTTGTTTGTATTCTGTTGTGATTGGGTTTTATCATGTATTAACATGGAATTTTCTGTAGTTCCAAGACAGGTAGATGATGGGGCTATGACTGATGACTTTATTGATTTTGAAGGTATAGAGTGACAGAGCATGGATTGGTGTGGTGTAATAGCTCAACCTTTATAAATGATCTTGCAGGTTTTAAATATATTAATAATAGTTGTATATGCAAGAAGTGTGTGTGGCATGATGGAATTGGCTACCTTTAAATGTAGATTACTAAATGACTGTCTAACCTTTGTGGTGGTTAATGATTTTTCAGGAAACATAATGATATGTATTAAATGCATTGTTTTATTTTTGCTGTCATATATTGGAACTGTAGTGTAGGGCAGCACGATTAATCAAATGCGATTGTCGTGCACATTTTGTTAAAAAAGCGGTTCTGTAATCAGCAGAAAATCATCATCACGTGCTTTCAGATGGCAGAATTTACTAGACATAGCCGTAGTTCACTGACAAGTTACGCAAAAAAATCGCAGACGATTTTATTGTGCGATTATGAAATCGAAGAAATCGTTCGCGATAATGACAGCTGTTTGCATAGCTTCTCAGTGAACTACGGCTCTATGAAGTAAATGCTGCTCCATCTGAAAGCATGTGAAAATACCACATTTAATAACATATTTTTACTCCAATGGAGATTTACTGCTGATCACAGAACCGTGCTTCACTGAAAGATACGCATGACAATCGCAGCTTCTGTCGAATTGCGATCTCGATTCCATTTCGATTTATCGTGCAGCCCTACTGTAGTGCAGCCAATGAGTTCATAAGCAGAATACTAAACATTGGTGTATTTTTATAAGTTGAAAATAATGGCTGAAAATGTGGTTCTAATTATCTCGTCTTTGAAAAGGTACAAGAATTCCCAGTTGGAAGTTAATGTGTAAATGTTAAGTTATAATGTGTAAAAAATTTTAAAATGTGTACATACAACAAAAGTGTGTTAAGGCATGGCTGGAGATTTTTTGGCATTAGATTTATGAATATCAGCTTTTAGTTTGTCACATCCTGGCGGCCAGAACCATGGCGAGCACTAAGTACCAACTTTACCATTTCCATGGTGAGTTGTCCCTGGGACGTCAGACGGCTGTCCGTCACTTTATCCCCTACGGCCAAAGGCCTAGGCTACATACCAAACAGACTCCTGGGCCCGGGGTAGAGCTCAAGGCTTGGAATCAT